TTCACATTTTATTTGATTTTATTTTTCTTCGAGAGAGATTTTTGCTATAGGGTATGTGCACTTACCAGAGAGACAGAGAAAGAGGCAGGAAGTGAGAAACCTCTCCCCTCCCCCAGGAGGAATGGCCATGCTGCAATCCCTTCTCCATTTTCCTCTCAGGATCCTGGGCACACACACACACATGCCCTGTATGAGTTTCAAGCCACCGGATCCGGGACTCAAACTGTAGTCAAGACTACGTGGGAGTCCAGCGATATAACCATTTTGTCATCTGCTGGTCCCAACATTTTATTTTAATTGATTTCAGTTTAGATAGCCACTGTGACTTGTGGCTATCATATTAGACAGTACAGTTTTAAGACTTTCCTATCCTCATCTGTAACAAGACACATATGAACCTGTCTTCTTTTTTTTTGGCACTTGATAAAATTTAAGATACATGACTCTAATATCTGATTATGCTTCCAGTGAGAATCTTGTCTGTGTGTGTATATGGAAAGATAATTTTAAAAGACAGGTTATGGGGCTGGCAGGTAGCGTGGTGGTTAAAGGCGCTGGATTCCCACATGATCAACCATAGTTCGAGTCCTGGACCTGGCTTCTTGCTTTCTCCCCTTCTCTCTCTCTCTGGTTAAATTAAAAAATCATAATAACAAATGGAATTAAATACATAAATAAATCTTAAAAACAAAACCCGACAGGTGACTCATAAGATAGAGCCGCGATGTCTCGAATTAAATAAGAAGGTAGTCAGATAAATCTAGGTTATGACTTCTTTTAAGCATGCCCGGTGTGAAACAAAAACTGAATGCCAGTCATACGTAGTGCAGAGTAACTCACTTCCTATCGCACACGTAGGGGCTGTGGCTGGTCTGCATTTGGATGATGAATCACAGTTGATTTCTGTCTGGTTTTTTTTTTTTTTTTTTTGGCGGGGGGGTGAAAGCTACCATTTTTTTGGCAGGCAGATGAATGCTCTCATAGCAATAATGTCTGTTTTGATCATTCTGTTCTTGGGAGACATGGTTTATTTTATAGTCCTACCCTGGGTCTCTGAACATATATGAAAGAAAATTAGTTACCTCAGTCATTAGCCTTGGAGATGAATAAACTAAAGCCTGTCATTTTGCTGTGTTGGCAGTTTGGGCCAGACAGCCATCAGATAGAAATGAGAGCTGTTAGGTTAGAAACAGACTCACCCTGCTTCCAGGTAACGTTGTCTCTGTAGGTCAGTAGAACTCTAGTGGAGTTGATCAATATGCTGATTTATTTGTAACCGACCAAGATGAACCCCACATAGAGCCCACAGTTGAGAGTGAAAAGTATACTTGCAGAGCTATCTCATGTAGGTGTATTTTTTGGGGGAGTTGGGGGAGAGGTTTTTGCTACAGGGCGCATGCGCTTGCCAGAAAGACAGAGACAGAAAGCGAGAAATCACCCCCCAGGGGGGATGGCCACGCCACAATCCCTTCTCCTCTTGGGATCTTGGGCACGCATGCACACGCGCCTGGCATGAGTTTAAGCCGCCAGGTCCCAGACTTGAACCGCAGTTGACTACATGGGAATCCAGCAACGTAACCATTACAC